TCCAAAGCCAGACACTGCGTAATGCTTGTATTTCAATCATGATCTGAAACAGCCCCTGTCATTCTAGCTCCCCAGCCTCCCGTTGCTCTTCCAGCGTGGCCCTGTTTTGATCTGAAGTGCAATCTACTATTTCGGTCAGGAGAAAAACCTGTTCATTGTACCAAATTACACAGCAGAGGTTTGGGGCTGAGCTAATCTGCTAATTAAAGACTTAAATTCCAAACACACATCTGAAAGCCAATGTCAAGTGAGGAGACCTTTTATTACAATCGCTTGTATTAATGCCTGCAGGCCGGCATTAATCAAAAATTTCACAGTATTTCATATTATTGTTCGGTATCAGAAAAATTGACAGAGCTTACCAGTGATAGGAGAAAACACTGCAAGTACAGTTTTATGGTCTCTTTAGTTTTTTTTTTTAATTATTATTTTAATTTTATTTTTGTACTGTAGTGACTACCTTTAACACTGGCCTGTGATACACACGTACTCCTTTGCAACAAAGCTCCCGTCCTCCCCAAACGCTGCAATAGGATGAAGAGCCAGGCGTTCTGCAGCTCGGTAGTAGGCGTTTGAGCCATGGTAAGGACCACCCTTCTCCTAGTACTACACTGCGACTTCAAAATCCTCCATTTTAATACGTAGATGAGTCCCCCAGGATCAAAAGTAATCACAGCCAGACTGAACGGTATGATCAAGCCTTTACTCAGTGGCCTACATTTCTGCATTAAATAATAAATACCTGGCACTCCGTATAGTTTCCAGTGCATCTCACTGAGATCATTAGTTCCCTTTCTAAGGGGTAAAAACTCAGGCAGTTATTAATAGCCACATCTTTAGAAGCCTTTGCTAATTGTGCTGCTCTCAGTTTGAGGTGCTTTTGCTAGCGGGAAAGGATTAGTTAGGATTTTTAAGCTTCATAAAATGTAACGCGTATTACAAAGGTACCCCAAGGAACTCTGCTCTAAAAGGTGTTTACACCGTTTATAACCCCTCTCGTAAAATCACGTATTAACCCCCAAGTAAGTTAGGAGGGGGCGAACTATGCAGACCAACAGATCAGCAATTCCCACGTAAAGTCTCACAGTGAGGTGCTTCTGCAGGAGGCCGGCCCCGTGGCAGGCACATTTCGGGCGTTTCTCTCCACCATAGCTGACAGGACCCACCTTCCCGACCACGGACAACACTCCGATTCGGGAATATGATGTATACTGGACACAGTCGTCACTTCTGCTGCTGGCACTTACCAGCCGGTCAGCCCCAGGCTCCAGCTTAACTTCAGTACTAACGGGACGGGATGCATCATCTACCGCAGGATCAGGTGGTGATGCTTCACCAAGAACTATCAGCCCCTGAAAAAGAGGGAAGGGAACAGGAATTAACTGGGGATTCCTTAGTCTCGACAGCAAAGCTGCACACCCATCGTTCTCCAGAAACTAAAAGCACCACGCAGCAAGGCTTGCGTTCCCACAGCGTTTTTCAGACGTGATGCCAAGTCGAATCCCTGCTGCCTTGATTTTCCTGACATCGAAGCCGAACTTAGAAGGGGAAGGACAGCAGCTGAAGCCAGATCACGTGCCTTCGACCCATTACCACTTAGCTCCCTCTCAGCCAGAGCGTCTGAACCACTGCTTCTTTCTCCCTTCCCACCCCTTCCCCTCCTCCCGTATGTTCTCCGTACACTAGGTGCAGCTTGCTGCTTGCCAGCAAAACCAAAAGAACATTTCAGTGTAGTGCAGAGCAGGAAACTACTGCTTTAATAAGTGGAACCCGCCACCCCGGCCAAACAAACAATTCGGAGTCAGTGCCAAAAATGTGCAGTCAAACTTGTAGCTCCGAGCGGATTTTTCAAAGAAGTGATACTCACGAAATTCAATAAGGAAAGAAAAACACTGATAAACATACCAATGCTATAAAACTAGCGGGACAAAGCACAGTGGCATAGTACTGTTTTATCAGGCTTCACATGTGTTGTCCTGTTTATGTTTTACTCTTTAAGTGAAGCTTACCCGAAAGCCAGGACTGTTTTCTCTCTGAACAAACGCTAAAATAAAACCATCACAACCATGCATATTCTGAGCTATAGTTTAACAAAGCAGGCTACAATGTGCAAGGGGTTAGACAGTAGCAGAACCTGAAGGCCATGAATATAGCCCAGGACGCAGACAAGCCAGAACAAGTTTGCCTCGGTCAAGCAAGTAGCTATGGGAAGGGCTGCTCAGATTAAGAACAGGCTGATCAGTCACCTGAAAGCAATCTCGGAGGTTGCACTATGTGTCACAACAAAGACAACCTGAAAGCAAACCTGGATACGCTAGGTGCAGAGAGGAAAGAGCTAAAAGGCCTCCTTCGAAGTCCACAAAAATCAAGTCTTCCATGTAACTGTGGGTCGATGATGATGCCACGGGATATGGCCGCTGACATCTCTTGTAAGGCTGATCTTACACCTCGACAGAATCTTTTATACAGCAGTCAGTAGCTTTCCAGAAAAATCTTGGTAACCCTTACTTCAGCGATAGTTTATTTAGAAGTAGACATAAGGTAGTTCATGAACAAAATACAACTGCACACGGCCTCTGACCAGCAATTAGGAAGTAGCTAGCTTCTAAAATAAGTATGATGACTAGTTTCTAGAGTTTCCTGAGATCCCAGAAGGATGTTCAGCAGATGAGAGAGGCTGGGAGGCCAAACTCAAATACTGCTGTGTTTTTCCTGCACTCTTGAAGATCCGTCTCTGAAAGCAAGCCTTCACGTTCTGCTCCTGCTTCTGGAAACCTCCTCGGCCATGCTTCAGCAGTAGAGAGGTTGGTCCTCTCCGGGTATCAAGTGTAGGAGATAACTGACACAAAGCTGGCAAAAGGGAAAAAGTGGCGACTAAATGGAAAAGTGGAATCAAGGAAATTGCTTCCTTTTGACCCTTCGGAAAACATCCAGGCTTCTAGCTTGTTCAGAGAGAAGGAGGAGATGGAGAAGCATGCACCGCGGGAACAGAAACAGCTACCAAGGACTTAGCCTTGGGTTAAAAGACAAGGGGACGAAGAGAGCTGTTCTGCACCTCAGGAAAGAGCAGTAATTACTCCTAAATACTGTGAGTATTTGTTTAAAGATATGTCACTTCACTGATACTTTGTCCTAAGAGCTCCACTCTGCCGAGGTGCTGAAGAGCTCAAACAGCAGAATACAGATGAGAGGAGACTTTCAGAGTAAACGCAATGCTTCGCACAGCCTTCCCGTGCGGTGTTCGGTGCTTTTGTTTTTCACGCTCGCACACAGAAGCTACGTTGTCCAAACCTACCCTACCGGCTACCCACCTGGTCCTCGGGCACCAACCCAGGACACAGCCTCGAGGAAGTTACAAGCTTGAAGTCAGGACGGCATCTTCCCATTGAGTGGTTGCACTCTCTCTTTTTCGCTTTTAAGATTTTTAAACCTCTGTTATTTATATGGTTGTGAATAATAAAGTAGGAATTAGAAAGACAAAATTTCAACTTCCTTTCAGAGCAAGGAAAGGCGTTCTTGTGAATTATGCCAAGGTCACACAATACTACTTACTTATTTATTTATTTATTTTTAGGCCAGCATTCTGCAAAACAAAAACAAACCAAAGCAGCCAAAAAAGGCCCTCCCTCTGCATTTAGGGGGAAGGTTGCTTCTTCATTGCCCTCATTTTTATCATTATGGTCTTAATGAGAAGTCATTGGTACAGTTCTCAGTTATACTGTTTCGCAGTCCTGTAACAGTCAGCGGCTTCTGGCAAGGGACCAAGAGGTGGGGAAGACGACAGACACACATTAAGACATATCAGAGAGAGACCGGGTGTCCTAAACAGCTCCTCCCAGAGACAGCAGCATCTGCTATTGTGCCTCAAAGCCTGGCATACCCGAGCACAGATTTGAACAGGAAACGCTCACGTGAGAACTGCTGTAAATGCCTCTAAACAAGAGGGCTCCTCCCAACTCTTTTTCCACTCTTCCCATCATGAGTTTTTTTTACATCAGCAGCTCCCAACAGAGCTCCCAACAGTTCTCCACGGGGCTGCTAACACAGAGGGATCTGATCAAAAGAAGAGTGAACCCCCCTCGCCTGGTCTGGGGACAAGCAGACCTTGGGTCCCCAGAGGTGATGTGCAAACAGCTTCCTCTCTAAGGAGCTTCAGTCACTGAGTTTCAAGCAACTGCAAAGGATTCCTCCCAGAGCCTTCAATCTTAATTCACCTCTTATTTCATCTGTGCAAGAAGAAAACTCCTAAGGAAAGAGGCAGAGAAAAGAGAGGGAAAACGCTGTGCCTTCCTCTTCAAATACAGAGAATCTGCCACCTCCACGCTCAGGGAGCAGCAAAGACGCTGCTGCGTGGGTGGAGGGTACCAGTACTGGGCCACACCTCACCTAAAAAATATCCCAAGAAAGGACATGTGTGAGAAGAAACAAAACCACCACGTTACCCCCATGGACATCCAGTCCCCTAAATTAAGTGGGCACACACTTCCAAACCAGCACAGAATAGAAAACGTAACAGCCCACTATTTTAAATGTCAGAAAATGCAGTGCTTCAAAAACTAACTTTCAACACACGCTCGCTTAATTGTTGTTTTCCTCCACGTCTTACCAGGTTCCAACCAAGCTGATCCAAATGTGCTGAAAACACAATTACTGCTGCGACACCAAGGCAGCAGAGTGTACCTTCAAAAGAGAGTGTTACTTTCAATTGCCTTGTCCTGCCTTTCCTTTAATTTGACAAAGCAATGCATCTTTCCTGCAAGGGCACACTGGGATGTAAATCTCAACATATAAATGTAATTAAAAAAAAAATTTTTTTTTTTTTTTTAAAGTAGCAGCTTAGAATTCCTCCAACAGCTACATTTTAACCTCCTTACGTTTTGGTCCTCGCTACAAATAATCCAGAGTCAAGCTATGTTGTCTGAAAAAATAAGGTGTCTCCAGATTCTTCAACTCTTACCCCTGGCACAATTCAAAGTCAAGCCCATTCCAAAAAGACTCTTGCATTAATGAAACAGGCACGCATCTCTCCATCTTCTACATTCACCCCTAATTCTTTTATACCTTACTCCGAGTTCTTCATCGATGAATACAGAAGATATTTTACAAGGAATCCTTGAGCTCACTAACATCAACACGACGACAGCCGGATGCAAGTGGTGGTCTCCATGAAGTGCTATCAGAACGACGAGGCATTTGATATCCGCTTTCTTGTTCAGGCAGAACCACCACTGTCAAACCCTGAACATCTGAACTCTTTTGCTACCTAAAGTGGCATGCTTAATCTAAATTCACGTATCGCATTATCTCAGTTGAGGAATTCTTGTTTGAGCAAGTCAAAATAGATGACATCCTGTTTTCTGAAACCTCAGATGTACTTTTCAACTTTGACACAATACAGTGATGTTCTCCTTTCAGACCTAGAAACTACAACCTTAGATAAAAACATACAGGATGCTTGTAGACATTATCGGGCCATTTCACATGTCTGCCAAGCTGTCATACACTGGTGAAAGCACTAAATCATTAGATGAGGTTTTTTTTTTTTTTTCCCCCATTACTTACTTTTTAACACCTAAATGTCTGGAGCAATCACGTGCTTCACTGAAGAACATAGGCAAGAGGGAATAAATGGTATTTGAAAACTAACACTATGACACAAGAACACTCAAGTTTTAAGACTTTCCCTTTATAATCATGGATGGCCCTTCCCTCATTGAGTATCAAATGGTAACCAGAACAGCTCATACAGTAAGAGAAAACTGATGCTGAAACCCTGAAATACATCTTGATCACTCTTCATTCATGACAAAAATATCTCAACATTTGCAGTAGCAGTATTTTAGCAGATTTGCCACCACTCAGTGGCACATCTGCTTTTCCAGGATCTGAAGGAAGAAGTTCTCTGTGAAGCCAGAGAGGGAAGAAATTCATAGATATCTTGCCACATTGGTTTTGAACAGCTGCTCCTCCTCTAAAGAGAAAGTCTGTGAGTCTCCATTACCTCAGTCCATTTGGTGACCTGAACTCCATCCTCATCTTTCAGCAGTCACATTCTTCATATCAATTCCTGACAGTTACTAAACCACAAGTAGTTGGCAGCAGTGTTTAGCAATTTTATATTTTATACCTAGAAATCATCTTGCAAGATCTTCTTTCTTAGGACAGAAAAGAATCTGAAACTGGTTCACTAATTTGACGCACAATCCAACTCTGAGAAGTCTTTTCCTCTAATCTCAGTAAGGTATTCCATTCAGTAAAGCCATGTTCTTCTACCTAGTCACTTATAGCAGTTACTCACTCGAGTAGCTTGTTTTTCTACATAGCTGCATAAAAGACCACAATCTTCCTCCTGTGCCTGTGCCTTTCTACCTGCCTGGAAGTCTCTTCCCGTCATCCCCAGAACACCGCACATCTTGAGAAAAGTGTTTGCTGGATTCGGAATTCCTGAGGATCTGTAAATTGATGCAATGCCCCGACACTTCTTGCTACAAACTCCAGACATTCCTCCCTCCAAGGCGTGACGTTTAGCTATGCATGCCTGAACAGAACAAGTCTTGATAACAGTTCCTTCCTCATCCCTTCTCTGCTCTCCCCCATTCCCATGCCATCTGAGAGCAAGTTTGGAACAACCTTCCACCAAGGAAGGTCAGCACCTAGGAACAGACTTTATTACGACACTGACTCAGTTTTAAGCCTGTAATATGCGATCGTATCTCAAGCTGACTTCCTCCACAGTCTCCTCCCTTTCCCAATAAGTCTCTTGTTCTTCTGTTCCTTATCCCCATATCTTCAGCTACTCCCAAAAAGAAAGAACAGGAAGGAAAACATAATCAAATAAAAAAATGAGAAAGGCTAGAACGGTGGGGAGCAGAAACAAGCACACAAAAGCAACAGCTCTGTTCAGTACCCAAACACTGGCTGTAAAGTAAGGTGTTGCTATCTTTGCGTTACCTTATTGAACCAGGGAAAAGAACTACACTCAGCATACGCCCAAATAACATCATATGCAGTCACAACCGTGCAATACGCTTTATGAGAGACGCAGGACAAACAGCATCATACACACTCCACGTTGCATCAGGAGAGAGCGAGCGAGCCATCAGGAGGCAGACGGAGCAGAATCACACACACACACACACACACACACACACACACGTGCTTCTGGGCCTCACCTTATTGGCTCTAATCTGCTTGTAAATATCCGTTTGCTGCCGGATTCGGTATTCCAGGTCTGAGACGTGGGCTTGGAGCCAATTCCAACGACTGACGATGGCTGCACGGTCTGCTGCCCATCTCCACTCTGCCCTTCGTCTCCTGGAAAAATAAAAAGGGGAAAAGGGGTCATTTTGAGAGCAATTTTAATTATACAGCCTACAAACAGCCTAGTAGAACTGCCAAATAGATCACAAGCTGCATACTGAATGGCATGAGTGATATCCTCTAGCCACCACTAATAATGATCAGCCAAACCCGAGATGTGCTATAAAAGCCGTGCCTCCACAGAGCATTATTAAAATAGCTTTTGGTACCTAGTGATTGAAGTCCTGCCTATGCAAGCGTTAAGATTTTACGCCAAGCTTGGCTAAACCAGCAGCTCCCGTCCTATCTGGCCACATCTGCCAGACCCACTTTTCCAAGTCTTGGAGAAAAACTCATTTACCCTCTCTCCCTAAACTTACTCTCCTTAAAAGCACTTCTGTCATCAGTCATGAAATATGGCTGAACACCAACGTATACCACATGGCCACAATTAAAACATCGCGGCAAGTTTCACAAGGCGCACAGCCCTTCGGTTTTAAGAGTAACCACTCTGGGAGACAAGCAACAGAGCTAACAGCAGCTCTGCACAAGCTGCTCCTCTGCAATGAGGTGCTGCAAAGGAAAGCAGACAACGGCACACTCGATTTCTGCATCTGACGGCTCGACCCAGCAAACGAGGAAGCCAGAAAAAAAGAAATTACCAAGTGAACTGCACCTTCTGCTCTCCCCTGATCAGAGGCGCAAGCACGCGTGGGTGTGTGCGTGGGGGAACCCGCAGGCTTCGCAAGCGTTGACCGATTTCCTACCTTCGTTATCTCTACTGCAAACACAAAATATGGTTCTGCAGACGCATAAACATACTTTCGTTAGTACGCGGACTACACCATCGCATTTTATAGTCAACTGGTACAAAAATGCCCTTACTCTGTACTGCCTCGCTCCAGACAAAAGCAAACGGCGGGGGGGGGGGGACACAGGAAGGTAACCTATGTATAAATCCGAGGCTCCACTCACCCACTTCGGAAGTGTCACAGTACAACAGATCCTTTGCCACATCTGGATAATCGAGAACACAAAACTAATCACAAAATACTTCCCTCTTTCCCCATCCCTCCCTCCCCTGTAGCATTTTTCCACATACAGCACGCTGCCTAGAATGGAAAATTGTTACGCCAGTTCTCAGATAGGAAGCGATGGGCGGACAGGTCTAGCGTTTTCATCGGATTTGCTGCCTCCAAGAATCCAGCGCGACCACAGACTCCCAATCGGCCCCTCACACGAGGTAAGGGAGCCAGACTGACGTCCGGAGGTTTCTTCCAAAATCTAACCAAGAAAATCTTCTGCTGAGATTAATCCGTTTCGTAGCTGAAGTCAGCCACCGTAGCAAAACCGACCCGGGGTAGGTGAGATCCCTCCCAGTTGTCGAATCCCCGCTGCTTGGGGAACGAAATGTAAGCTAACACTACATGAATTACATACCGTGTACGCAAGTCTCTTACTGAAGCCCATGAAGACACGGTAAGCAACAGCAGTAACCGAGTTCCTAGAAAAAACTACACCTCTCACGCATCTGCTGTTATTTAGACGTACTGCTACCCATGCACTCGCCTAGAAAAGCAGCCGGGTTATTGCAAGTTTCAAATCAGCTAACACAAATACCCCGGAAAGAACGCGCTGGCTCCGTGGAACTGCAGCTGAAACTCTCCAATTCGGAATAACACAATCCTACGGATTCTTACTTGACCTCCGATGCGCGTGTGTGACTTCAGTTCGTTGCTAATTTGGATGAGGCCAGATTCCCACAGAAATGGGCAACTGCAGTGACTGCCTATATTCTTCCCAGGCCTCTCCAAGACCGGTTTCAAATCACTTCTGTGAGCTTAAGCTCTTTTCTCTGGAATTCTTCACTGCGTAAAACACCTGCCCTGTTTTGATCAACCCTGATCTTATGTTCAGTGTAAATTTTAACATTTAGAGTAGATAGATGCCAAAGCAAGGCTTGCTCTTAATCCTCCATCAGTTATACTGAAGATACAGCCAGGAGAACCTAAGACAAAAGTAGGCCAGGGCTGGATAAAGGTCTGAGTTACCCTACCGGCTAGGCAGTACCAGAGCTGGATAAAGGGCTGATTTAGCCTACCTGCTAGCCAGAGTGACCACAGGGTTAATCCAGTTTACAATGGCTGAACAGTTGCCAATACCACCCCAGCATCACCAGATCATGCCGCTCCAATCCAGATCCCTGGCCGGGTTGCGCTTTATTCTCTTCCAAGAAGGATAAGATGTTGCAAGCTTTAAGGCAGAGGGGACTTCCTCCCAGCAAGGAAACTCCAGTTTGCCTCCGAAAAGGCCTGAAATCCCCTTCGCGACACTGAAGCGGAGTTCAGGAATCACATCTTCCACCCTTATCTTGCAGAGAAGTTTCCCTGAGCGTCGCTGTTACTCTGACTCAATCACCCACAAAACTGACAGCATTTTTATATTGTAGTTTCCCCCAAGACTTTCCAAACCACAGTACTTTTCTCCCAGCTAAATTTTCCAATACTTCCATTTCAGAAGTGAAGAAGAATTTTACCGGAGAAGCGTTCATTTTTTTTTTTTGTAGCTTAAACTAAGCCAGGAAAGGCCTCTGCAATGGCTGTCTTTGCTTTCATGAATGGTATCTTCAGTGTCTGTGGATAAAACAGACTATCTGGACTTCCAGAAATTTTAGGATTCTGATAAGCCAGATCTCACCGCGGCTCAGCTCCCATTACAGCCTCGCAGATCCTCGACGTGACATTTCATCTTACAGAACGGTGGGTTTGCAGTCCGCAAAGAAGTAATTCATAGGCTATAGAGTGAAGTTTCCACAAAAAGAAACTGAAAGGGCCAAGCTCACTGTCAGTAGGCTTAAGTTTGCTGTCTGGGGACCCACGCTTCAATGGGAAATTTCTTTAATCAGTTAGAATAAAGATCGAAAGCACCTCCAAACTCGCCTGCTGCCTTGCTGTCTTCTGCAGAGTTCTCAGGTATCCCTGCCTGCGGCAACAATACTGTCCTGCTCCTTAAATAAGGCTCGCTCTTTTATTCAGGTTACAAAACACAAGTCAAGATTAAGTATATCTATATGAACAAAAGGGTTCACGCGCGTTTAGATTCCTAAGTGAGACAGGACACAAGAAGCGGCAGACCTGCTCTTTGTTTTTGCCTAAAAATCAGGACACATGCTACCCCAGAAAACATCCCCTGGATTTAAGCCAAAAATAAGCCCAAATGAAATACGGTAACGTACACTTCCATCCTCTGACACCCCGCAGCATAGGTGGAGGAGGGGAAGACACATCACCATGGCTCAGCCACACTTTCCAAAACAGTATTGAACGGAGCCCGGTCCTCTATATTTAGAATTAAAGCTTTTTCAGAGCCTGTCCAGTTACCCCCTTTGCTGCGACGTGCTGTCAGCGACATACATGTTTTCCTTGTGTAGATTAGCTTTCAGATAACAAGCCGTGTAACTTCTTTAGCTTTAATCTCTATACAAATACTCTGCAAGAACAACAGTTTCTCTTGACTGGCCCTAGAAAGTAAGAGCCACTCGCAAAACACAGCCTTTGAGATAGCTACAGTCAGGCACCGTCGGCAGTCACCCGAAACCCACACCAGACAACCGGTTAGTAGGGGGAGGGCAACCCACTTCCTTTCTTTCTAAACATCGGGGACTTCGACATGACAATTAATGAAAGAGTTTATTGCACCTGCCCAACACGGGTTTGGGATTAAGCAGAACAAGGAGAGAGACAAGACAGCCAGATGGCTGGGCAAGATTGGGGCTACTTAAAGCGGGCTCCGCGACTCGTCGCAAAAGCAGTCGTCCTGTGCTTAGAAAGGCAAAGCCGGGGCGGTGAGCAGCAGCACGGTAGTAACTCCTGCGGCTCCCAAGGCAGACTGCTAATCGTGTTGCTGCACGGGTATGTTTTGCGTAATTGCAAGCACGCGCGCAAAATAGGTTACTGAGGTGCAGCGCCAAATGTGCTTGCTTATGCATCGGGAGGCAGCTGCTAGGGTCACTTTTAGCTTGGCATCAGAGGAAAACAAACAAACCAAAAAAACCTTATTCCCCTTTAGCCTGAATAAGAATGAAGTTAAGAAATTGAAAATAACAGATGAGGAGCTGAAATCAGGGAATTTTCTCAAGGGTGGGGAAGTTTGAGGATGGGGATTGGGCCGCTTTCCCATTCAGCAGGGCGCAGAGGGCAGCAGAAGCAGGACACGCCGGCGTCACGTGGCCGCAGGCAGACGGGCCAGCGCGGGCAGCTGCGAGGGGAGGTGCAGCCCGGGACAGAAGACAAATTATTTGGGGGCCTGATCCTTTAAAAGTCACCAATAACAATAATAATAAAAACCTCCCCGGCCCCCGCGCGCGCAGCTGGCGTGGCACTCAGCTTGACGGACAAGGACAGCGTCCTGGAAACTTCAGCAGATGGTGCTTATTGTAAATAGCGCGCGCGCGCAGAATTAGCAGCCTGACGCCTCCTCGCCCGGAGGAGCCGGCGTACGGCCGGAAGGTCCCAGCCCTTTTGCACCGGGCGGGAGGCAGGGACGGAGGGGGAGGCTGTATCGGGCGGAGGGGGAAGGAAAACCAAGGCAAGGTTAAGACAGACCAAGTTCAGCCTGTCGGGTAATAAATACTGCATTGCACGCGCTTGGGAGGCTGCAGGGCTTCATAGGAAAGGGGCGAGGGAAGCACTGGAGCCCTCGCCCTGGACGCCGACTCTCGCGGTCCGTGGCAGAGAACCCCAAATTCTGCCGGTTTGGGGCTAGCAGGGAAAAGCCTCAAGGAGTAAACGCCTCCCGAGCGAGCAGGAGGCCAGGAGCGATGCAGAAGGGCACGGTGTGTCTGCATTTCCAGTAAAAGCACTAGGCAGCCTTTAAGAAAATTACAGGAGGTAACTTCAGCAACGTGACAGCTTCTCAGACTGTTCTGATTACATCAAGGGGGAACAGCTGAGGAAAGGTGGGAAACAAGCGCTTTCTAAAAGAAAGAGAAGCTAGCTTTATATTACTGGAGAAGG